TGGGGGGGGGGGGGTCATTTTAGATAGGTCATTAGAAAGGCCTCAGCCTTGGCCAAGTGAGTGGGCAGGAGACACAGAGCTAATACACCAAGATGAAAGACAACACAGAGAGGCGACAGCACTGTGCTAGAGGGGTCTTCCTCTTCCATGACACTTCCTTCCCACGTTGGTAGGTACAGTGCTGTGAGTGACCTTCTGGCCGAATTGGATAAAGGAACAAAACAGGCCTTGAAGTCTCTGTATGGAGTCAAAGATATTCCAGAGGTTAAATCTCGGAAACGCCGTGAAGCGGGATCCTGGAGTTCTACCTGGGAAGGCATACCACCCAGATTCCGCAACCTGATCCCACTGCTGATCGTCAGTCCTGATGAGAAGGGCAAAGCCAGGGACTTCTTCACTGGGCGGAAGCGGAAAATCAGTGGGAACATCATTCACAAAGCTTCCAATGTCATGCAAATCCACAAGTCCAAGAAGTTGGTGGGGTTCCAACTGGTAAGATCTACTTCCTCACAGGTCAAGGGTGTGGGGGTGGGCTGGAGATAGCAGGCTCAGGGCCTCTTCTCTTTGATCATCCTATCCTATAGACCAACTGTAAGAAATACATCTAGTTAGATTTGGTTACAAGCAACTGAAATCAATTCAGGCAGTCTTAGGCATGGAGGACTCTTAGGAGCCTGACCAGTGTTTCCTAGAGGCTTCCTAAAGGACAGAAATTAGGGAAGATCTAGCAATCTAGAGGGCAAGAAATTACCAGGCCAGTTCAGACACTGATGCTGAATGAAAGAGGCTATTTTTACTCTTTTTGTTATGCCTAAGATTCAAATTCCATCTAGGGCATTCTACTTAGCCAAGGTTGGGGCACCAGATCACCCCTTGGCTAATGGAGAACAGGGTAAATTGATGGACAGTATCCCCAAACAAAATTGTGACGTAGACATCAGAAATAACAGCTGAAGCACCCAGGTCCCTGGCAGGTACTGTGTGGCCTGACTTCTTATCTCCCTTTCTGGTCCCATTTGAGATGTTCCTGGAAGCAGCCATTCAATGAAAATTAATTACAGTACCCTCCTGGGCAAAGTCTATCCCCACCATGCCTCTAAATGCTGCCACTGGAGGACAAGGGCTATTTATACGACCCAGAGCCTCCATTTTGAGACCTTTTTATCTAGTCACAAATTTAAAAAAACAAAAAACAAAAAAAACACATTGAAACCCCAAAGTCTTCCTTGCTCATTTCTTAAAATATTCATAAGATTCTCTTGATACAAAATCAAGTCTTTGGACATGAAGTCCTTTCAGGAGACTTTCCAAGTCCAAGGTAATAAGAATGTTTGGAATGTTCCACAGCTTCTCTCTAGAGCCCTCATCATCACATATTTCAAACACGAGCCTTTCCCACTACTCACTAAGTGTGGTTGGTTAGGATGGTGTTCCAGTAAATATTCTGTCAGTGACATACTGGATATGTTAATGCCTTGTCTGAGAATCTGCAGAAAAGAGGTGTTAGAGTCTGGGCTAGAATCCAGATTTCTAGACTGTCTCTGTAATAGGAAATGGGAGAGTTCAGTAGGAAGTCAGTTGCATTAATCAGCCAAAGTCTGGATGGATGGGGACCCTAAGAAACTGGTTTTGCTTCTTGTCTGATGGCAGAAAGTAGTAGGAAGTCACAGGAGTCAGCCTCAGTGTCCTTTGCTCCCCTTTTTACCCTTGAAGCTTATGGCTGACCTCTTCAAGCTCCCAGAAGTAAGAGGAAACCAATCTTTGCTCCAGATCTCTGTCCTATTCCTGAGTATCTAGCCTGGGGTCTGTTACTCATCCTCATAGAACTTCTGAAGAATAGTGACAGAACTGGCAGCTTCAGCCTATGTCTCCTCTCATTCACAGTGCTCAAATGACACCTCTGACTGTGCCACCTACACCTTCAGCTCAGGCATCAATGCCATCCAGGAGTGGTACAAGCTCCACTACATGAATATCATGGCACAGGTGCCTCTAGAGAAGAAGATTAACATGAGCTACTCTGCTGAGGAGCTGCTGGTTACCTGCTTCTTCGACGGGATGTCCTGCGATGCCAGGTCAGGAGAGGAAGTCCTCTGAGGACTGGAGGCTGTGCACCCCAGGCCCTTTCCATGCACCTGCAGTTCACCTCTAGGTCTTGAAAACAAAAGGTCATCATTTCACTGACTCTGCCCTTTGGGAAATCACAAGAGGTCTAGGTTCTGTAGTCAGTGAGGAAAGCATACCTGATATGGAAACACAATAGCTTTAAATTCATTAAATCACTTGTCACAACACAGAGTAGTTGATAGCATGCATGTCACTTTGTTTATCACTATGATGTATACCTACAGCTGAGAGCCACCTCTCTGTTACAGAGGAAGGAAGGAAAGAAGACATTCCTATGCTCATATTTGTGAGCCTTCAGACTACCTTGACGATAACTCAGATCCGGGGTGGTGACTGGGATTGGATGAGACATTCTGAAATGATCCCACAATCTGAAGTGTTTATTTCTTCATATTTGAATCCTAAGCTTTTCTGTGTGTTAAAAGACACATTGGTCTTTGTAAATGTTGAGTGACCATGATGATGTCACCCTGAGGGTAAGGGCTATAAAAATCATAATGGTGCATAGGATGGAGTTCCTTTTCTAGTGCTGGGCATCTGGATGGAAAAGTGCTTTCCTAGTATGTACAAAGTCCTGGGTTTCTTCTCCAGGTACACATCTGTAATCCAGCACTTGGGAGATAGAAGCACAAGGATCAGAAGTTCAAGGTTATCTTTGGCTATGTAGGGAATTTGAAGCCAGCTTGGGATACAGGAGACCTATTTCAAAAACAAAATAATAACAAATCAAAATAGAGACTGTGGTGAGAGGATTAAGATGGAGAACAAAAGGCATAGTCTACATCAAGGCTTGTCAACCAACCTGAGGGGCCTGTTCATTTCATCAGAGGGAAAATGGGAAAAATGAGTCATGCTCTCATCCATTATCCCAAAGGAAAGCTTTGCCATTGCCACAGCCCTCCCAGACTTTGGACGGCAAGCATGAGGAGAACTTCTAGCCCAGCCCTTTCTGAATCTTTCTCTTCCACTTCCATAGGAACTTCACACTTTTCCACCATCCAATGTATGGGAATTGCTACACGTTCAACAACAAAGAAAATGCGACCGTTCTCAGCACCTCCATGGGGGGTAGTGAGCATGGTAAGAAACCGGCATGGAGGGGGGATCCTGAGACACAACAGCGACCTTATGGCAACAGAATAACTGGGGACAGTTGAGCTTCCCAAGTCTCTACCCAGCCCCAAACTAGAGGCATATTTTCCCTTTCACAGTGGCAGTGAGCATCGTGCCCTTTCCTTTCACAGTATGAGTGTCTATTTCCCTTTCTGACTTTACCTTTGAGAGAGCTAAGGGATACTGCTGAGCTTCTTTCTACAACAAATCACTCTGGTTTAAGCTCATTGCTGGGGTGAGTAATGCTGGGCAGGTGACTTCTAAACAGAGTTAAACCTAGATGGGCTGAATAGGAGATTAGGCAGGCAGACACACCTCACCTTTAGTTAAGATGACAGATTCTGGAGGCAAACCCCAGCTCTGCCTCTCACTGTGTGACCTTGGTTACTGCCCTTCAACTCTAAAGTGAGAAGAATCACAGTAGCACCCATAAATATTTTTGAAGAGCACTCGGAATAAGACCTGGTGCACACTCAGGCTACCATGACAAGATACCATAACTTGGGTGGCTTCAGCAGCAGACTAATTTCTCACAGTGCTGCAGGCTGGGAAGTCCAAGATCAAGGTGCTGTCACATGTGGCTTCCGCTGAGATGTCTCGCCTTGGTTGCAGATGACTTCTCTCTGTATCCTCACATGGCCTTTCCTTGCTCTCAAGACGATGCTGTGATATCTCTCCTTCTCCTTATAAGGACATCAATCTTACTAGGTTTGAGCCCTATCTTTAAGACTTTATTTAAACTTAATTAAAGCCAAATACTAAAAGCACTTCCACATGTGAATCTGGTGTGTGGGGAATGCAATCCAACCATATAGACACTACACGTACAATTAGTACTAGCTGTCATCACTGCTGTTACCATGGCCAGCAACACTGCTAGTCACTAGCCATTGCTGTTGCCATCACAGCTACCATGCCACCACCACTTCCAGCTCCACCATCACTATTACTCTGCTATGCCTACTTTTACAGGGAAGTGAGGAAGTAGACAGATTGACTTGACTTACAATTGAAATCCTCCACATTTTTTTTTAATATGTGTGGTGCCGAGGATCTAACCAAGGGCCTTGTACATGCTAGGCAAGCACTCTATGGCTGAGCTACGGCCCCAGCCCATGTTGTTTTGTTTTGTTTTTGATTTTACTATGAAGCCAGGATGGCTTCAGTTTGTGAGTTTCCTGCCTCAGCCTCCTGAGTGCTGAAAGTACAGGTATGTGTATACCATCATGCCCAGCTGAAAGGAATTCTTGAAAAGTTCAGTGCAAATTGAATATAATTTTGAATGTTTGATTGAACATGTATTGATACGCTCTCATTAAGAAAGGCAAGACTAGGGGGCTGCAGAGATGGATCAGCAATTAAGAGCACTTACAGAGAACCCAGGTTCAGTTCCCAGTACCCACATGGTAGCCTACGATTGTCAGTGAATTCATTTCAGGGGATTCAATGCCCTCTTCTGGCTTCTGCAGGTGTTGCGTGCATGTAGTGCACTTACATGCAGGCAAAACACTCATACATATACAATAAATAAACAGATAGATCATAGATAGATGATAGATAGATAGATAGATGATAGATAGGTGATAGATAGATAGATAGATAGATAGATAGATAGATAGATGCTTTTTTAAAAAAAGAAAGGCAAGGCTCTGTCATAGGGAAGTCTGCATTTGGAATCCTGGCTTTCACTACTGAACAGTCTGTGTTCTTTCCAAGACTGCAAGAAGCCATGCTCCAGCATGCACACTGCAGTGGGAAGAAGCTGTCTGGGAGCTGAGTGAGGAAGAACAGAGTTCTGGTTATGCTGCTTGGAGGCTGTGTGGCTTCCAGCACACCACATCCCCTTCTGGGCTTCAGTTCCCTTCTTTACAAATAGAAGAAGTTAGAATAGTTCTTACATTATCTTATTTCAATCCATACAGATTCTGCCCATTTATTCTCTCATTCATTCACCACATATTTATTATCTGCTGCACACAGTTCGCACTTCTAGGTGCTGGGCATGTAGTAGTGAACAAAACAGATACCGTTTCTACTTTAGGGAGCTTATGTGTTGGTGGAAAGAGACACTTGAGAAATGAATAAGCATAATAAACATTATTAGCCACAAATCTTAATGAGAAGGAGGAGGAGGAAGAAGCAGAGAGCAAGACAGCATGGCTAAGCTCAGGATGGGGGTTTGATTTGGGAGAGGGAGGTTTGGAAAGACCCCCACTCAGGGGGATATTGAAAGATGAGATCTGTGTTCATATTCACACAAGAGCAGTTCAGATCCTAGAGAAGAAAATTAATTTGTTGTGTTCTAGAAACAGAAAAAAAGACCAATGTGCTTGGAGCTGACCCAGGGAAGGGACAAGTAGGTAGAAATGAGGAGGGAGAAGGAGGTGGGGTTGTATCTTTATAGCCTTGATAGCATCAGCCAGAAGAGTCTATGGAACTTCCCTATGTCCAGGGAGAGCCACAGAAAGCAGTGACTTTGCCTGACGGTCAGTTTTCAAAAGTCCCTCCGGCAGTTAGGGGTAGAACAGATTGTGCATGGAGAGCAATCACAAGGGAAGGAGAGAGATTAGGCCCACAGTCAGATACACCGTTCGTGGTTGGTTCATATCTTTCCTGGGACCTCTCCATAAGCAGCCACAGCACTGCAGGTCCCTTTGGATGTCCAGTAGAGCTTCTGATTTCAAAGAAAGACATGGGTTTACATGTCTCAGCCAGTTCCTTCCTATTTAGCAAGAACATATTCTGAGTGAGAACTGTGACCGTGATAATATGTTTGACCTTGCAGTAAGCAAATTGCGCACAAGTCGTACCCTCCTGGAGATTCCAATCTAGCGTGTCACTACCCTTTCCTTTCTGGAAGTACCTAGGTCTTGGATTGGAGTCTCCCAAAGTCCCTGGGGGATGCTTTCCTAACCTTTGACCACAGCAGGCTACTGTCTCCTACCAGGGCTACAAGTCATCTTGTACATAAATGAAGATGAATACAACCCCTTCCTGGTGTCCTCCACTGGAGCCAAAGTGCTTATCCACCAGCAGAATGAATACCCCTTTATCGAAGACGTGGGAACAGAGATCGAGACAGCAATGTCCACCTCCATAGGAATGCACTTGGTGAGAGAATATTCTAATTGACTTATGTTTAGAGGGAGGACAGTTTTTTTTAAAAAAAAAATCATAACTAAGGAGTTGCAGCTAATGGAAAAGGATGCTTGTTTCCAAGAGAACATGGATCTGTGTTTTCCAATGGCTGCCCCAATGGCCATTCCAGGAGTCACATTCAAATTTGTATCTGCATCTTCTGTGTAGGTTGAAAACATGGCATGTTTGTGGATATCACTCATGTCTTTATTTGCATCTGTGCTTAATGTTTCACAGTAAACTCCAGTCCTTGCATCTCAGTGCAGTGGTTTCCAAATCTAATTAGTCATTAAGCTTAGGTTTATTAGACCAGAATCTCTGGGAGATGAGCTAAAGCACCTGGTTTTGACCAAAGCCTTGAGATTATTACAAGAGTCTACATTCTCAGGACTCTGCGTGGAAATTTGAGCTTTAGCGTCCATCCAGCGCATACCAACCCCTGTGCTAAACAATAGGAAGTCCAGCAGAGGGAACTGGTAGTAGGAAAACACAAATGGATAATTAGAATCAGCATAAATGCCCCAAGGGAGAAATGCAGTTGGGAGTGGCGGTGCATGACTACATAGTGAGATCTTCAAAAAACAAAAAAAGATACAGTTGCTTGTGGGGGCGTCATAAGAACATATCACCCGGTATCTTGGTCTGTTTTCTGGGTAAATGGCTAAGATTAGATTATTTATGTTTGGTAATTCTGAAAGCTGGAAAGTCCAGCATGGTGCTAACCATTGGTAAGGATCTTCTCTTCCTCATGACAGAGCAGAGATTCTTCCAGAATGATCATACTAGCTCAGGTCTCTCTTCCCCTTCCTATGAAGCCACTGATGCCATCACGGGGACTCAATTTTGTGGCCTCATCTAATCCTAATTATCTCCCCAGGACCCCATGGCCAAATATTACTAACATGTGAGTTTAGGGATTCCATATCTAACTCATGATTTTGATGGGACACATTGAAACCATAGCAATGGGATGCTGACCTGGGGGAAGTTGAGGTTCAAGGTATGCTGTTCTGAAGAAATGTGATTTACATTAGCTAGTGGAGATGGTGAGGAAGTGTGGTGGTGGGACCCAGGACATCTGCAGCTTCTAGATGAGGAAAGCATCATGACGCAAATTCTCTCAGATGCACTCCAATTAGAGACTTTGCTCAACGTAAGAGGGAAGTAACATGTACAGCTTGGACTGTGTGAAGGCTGATTTCCCAAAGGGACAAAAATCTTGAGTCCCCAAGCTGCTCAAATGAGGAATTGAGAAACTGGGACACCACTTCAGAGCTAGGCCGCCGATTTCCTTGTTCACTGGGGTTCAAACACTCTGAAGAGATAACAGTGTACGTTTCCATCCAACATTTCCCCTAAGTGCAGTTGATTTCCCATTCAGTTTTCTCTGCACCCTGAAGACCACCTGGACCATGTAACACATCATTCCCTTATTTTCCACCCTCTCCCTGCCTCCTGCTTCCCATAGTGCCTACAAATGCTTGGGAGTTTTATGAGCTTGCAAAAGGTCAGAAGCAAATGAATTATGCTTCTGATTGTCTGCTTTGAGCTTGGAAATACCTTCCATATTGCTAAGCAAACATTCTCTGTGCCAGTGGTGGATAAACAAAGACATGGTTGAGTTTTCTGCTACACTTAATTTGAAACTAGAAAATCAAAACCTCAGAGCAGGGTCAGTCAGCTGGAGGTGTGATTGATGACTGTCAAAAACAACAACAATAACAAAAAAGAAAAGAATTACTAAAAGGTCAGCAGGGGGTCACTAAGAGTAAATCCAAACAAACTAGACTTCCTTTTTCATTTTTCACAATTGTTTCTTTACTTATCATTTATTATTGATAGGTATGTTAAGCAGGTAGACTTAGTTAGGTAATTGGTCAACAAACGTTCCTTATTTTATTGAAGGACTACATGACATAACATATACAAAACATTGAATATTCAGTGGTTAACCCAATATAGATTTTTTTTTTTTTGAAGCAGGGTCTCCCTGTAGACCCAGCTGTCCTGGAACTCACTATGTAGACCAGGCTGGCCTTTAACTCACAGAGATCCGCCTGCCTCTGCCTCCCAAGTGCTGGGACTACAGGCGTCCACCACCACGCCCGGCCATAGATTTTACTTTTAAGAAGGAAAGACAAAAATCAACATACCTGGACTGAGGGTGTAGGTAGTAGAATATTTGCCTAGTGTGCACAAGTCTGGATTCCATCTGTAGCAACACACACACACACACACACACACACAATCAGTACACCACTGCACTGTAGTGCTCATGTCTATGGAAACAAGGACCTGTCTGTCTTGTATCCAGTCTCAGATCTGAGGACATAATATATCCACAGTAACTAGATAGACGTGGATGAAAGAACAGATGGATGGGTGGCTATCTAGACAGAAGCTATTGGAGAAAGCTTCCTAAATGATGAATTCTTGATTAATGAGTACCTGGCAAATAATGTTAGGAAGGAGCATAGCAATGATAAAAGAATCACAGAACTGATGTTAAGCCACCTAATACAGCTTTTAAAACAATCACTTTCGAAGCTGATTGTGGCACACACCTGTCATTCCAGCACTTGGGAGACTACAGCAAGAGGATCAGGAGTTTGAAGTCAGTCTGGGCAACACAGTGAGACTCTGTTTCAAAAATTCACATTGCTTAAAGTGCAGTCAAAGTACTGGATGTAGCACATTGACAGTAATTCCAGAGAGGAGCAGTGAAGACCTTCACTGGGGCAATGGCTGTGAAGACAACCAGAATGAGATTGAGAAATTAGTAGGAAGGGGTCAGGTTTGACAACTGATGGTCACAAGAAAAGCCAGGGGAAGTTGGATGGCTATTTAGGGATGGATCTGTCAAGCTCAGAATTAAGGAATTCTGAGAACAGGTGTGCTTGGTGGAGAAGATGACTACCCCAGTTCAAGACATACCCAATCCATTGTATCTTTGAGGAAAACAAGTAAAATTAAAATATGCAGTAAGTACAAGCTATGAACCTAAACCTTGGGAGAAAATCTGGGAAGTCATTCTAACTTGGGAATGAATGCTATCGCCCAAGGCCTGAATAGATATGAAAATGTTTAAAGGCTGAGCAGAAAGAAAATGGAAAGACAGAGTCAGAGAAGTAGTAGCAAACCCAAAAAGAATCAGATAAATGGAGGAAGGCAGCTTCAGGAAGGTGTGCCAAGAGCACTTGAGAGGTCAAGCGACATAAAAGGTGAGAGGTGTTCTCTGAGTTTGGCAACTAAGGGCACTCCTGCTCTTTGCCAGAGTCGTTTTCAGTGGAAGGAGTGGAACAGAAACCAGAGTACAATAGAGCGAATGGTGAAAGGGAGTTGAGGAAGTGAACGAGGGTGGACTATTCACCCCTGGAGGTGTAAGGCTGAGTCATGAAACAGAAGAGACTCCACTGTCATTGCAAATCCCACTGTGTACCTTTACCTTAAAGTATACCCACAACTCCTTTTCACAAGGATATGTGTCTCAGAGATTTAGATACAATTCAGGGGGCTCAGCTTTGCAAATTGGTTATATAATCTCCATGGCTTAGTTACCTCATCTGTATAATGGGATGGTAACAAACATAATGTTGCTTCATGGCTGGTGAGAATTCACTGAGTTAATGCCTGTTAATCACTAGTATTACATATACTATATGCTTGGCATGTAGCAAGAGCTCAGAAAAAAATGCTGGCTGTTTCAGTACATGTTTTCAGAAAAGAGATGTGGGCCAGACATAGTAGTGAATGCCTATAATCTCAGCACTCAGGAGGTAGAGGCAGGAAGGCCACAAAGTTGATACCAGCCAGGGATATAGACTAAGTTCTAGGCTAGCCTGAGCGCGTGGGGGGGGTGGAGAAAGCGAGAGAGAGAGAGAGAGAGAGAGTTAAGGAAAGCTTTTTTCTTTTCTTTTTCAATTTTTCTTTGATCTTTTTGATCTCCATGTAGTCCCAGCTGGCCTGGAACTTGCTATGTAAACCAAGCTGGCCTCAGTCACACAGAGATCCTCCTACCTCTGCCTCCTGAGTACTGGAACTAAAGGTGTGCACCACCACACCTGGTGTTTTTTTTTTCTGTTTTGAGGGCTGTTCTTTCAGGGGGCGATTATTTGAATTGGAAATCTGCTTATTGACATTGATAGATAGATGGTAAGTAGATAGATAATAGATGATAATAGATAATAGATGATAGAAGATATGGATAGATATAGATAGATAGATAGATAGATAGATAGAGATAGATGATATAGATGATAGAGTATATGTATATTACTATATAAAATATGCTATTATACTATATACATGAAGGGCATTAATTATACATATATAAAGTATACTATTGATGTTGAAAATATCTTTCCTAGTTTGTGATGCCCTTTGCGCTTTTAGTGGTACTTTTTTCAGTGAAAAACACCAAGTACTGCATAGTTGAACCCTTTGTTTTCCTCTTTACTTGGTATTTTTATTGAGGGTTTTCCATCTTTGAGATCAGATACTGAGTTTTCTTCCAGTTACTGTGTCGTTTCATTTAATACTTTAACCAGTTAGATGTCTTTTCTACAGGATGTGAAATAGAGATTGAATGTGTTTCTTCCTCTTAACCTTTTTTTAAAAGTCTTAACTTCATATTTTGAGCAATTCATTTTCACCATTAATTAATAATATAAATTGTACATGCACAAATAACATTTACAACATATTATAAAATACAAACAAAAGATGAATGTTAAGCCACCTATTTTAGTTATTTTTCTTGTTGCTATGACAAAACACCTGACAAGAGTAACATGATGAAGGAAGGGTTTGTTTTGGCTCACAGTTTGAGGATACAGCTCATGGTAGCAAGGAAAGCTTGCAGCAAGAGTACCTCTAGGTGTGGCAGCAGCAACACAAGGCAGCTGGTCACATGGCGTCTGCAGTCAGGAAGCAAAGAGAAATGAACGCTGATGCTCAGCTCGCTTTCTGGCATT